GCACACACACACACACACACACACACACACACACACACACACACACAGAATCCAACTCCTCCAGAGACGCCTGAGCTTCCTCACAGCAAGTCAGGCCAGCCTGCGCGGCAGTTACCAGACGTGCAGGCTGGCAAGTGGGACCCTAACGATAGGAGTGCAGCCAACATCGGGGCGCAGGGTCTGGAAGAGCGAGCAGGAAGCAGGGCCACGGTGCTGCCGCCCAGGCTGGGCAGAGCCCGCAGCCTCTGAACGTAGCACTGACCATGATGACCGTGACTCTCAATCAACACACATTCTGTATAGCTTTGTCCCTACATTCAAGTCAACAAACGAGGAGCTCAGGTCTGCTAAGAGAAAAACCCCTAGCTCTCCTGGGTTTACCCAAGAGGAAATCCTGTGTGATGTGACTTCTGTCACGCAGTGCTGCAGGAGCGCTAACTTCCTTGCAGGTGCTGTGGCACCTCTCTGCTTCGGGAGGCATTTCCTCTCAGGCTGCTTCTCTCCCTGCCTCTCTGTAAAGGCCGACACTCACGCCATGACTTTCCTTGGCACACGGCCAAACTCTCTGGCAGCACTGTTACATATGTGTGCTATGGTTCCAGTGTCTCGGTGTGCTGGGGCCTTAATTCCTCCACGCAGCAGGGCTGGAAGGTGAGGCCTAGCGCAAGGCGTCTGGGTTATGAGGGCAGAGCCCCTGAAGGGGTCGCCACCTCTCCTGCAGGAATAGGTGAGTCCCCGCAGGAGCCTGCCCGCTCTGCCTTCCACCACCAGGCCCCATCAGAAGCCAAGCAGATGCTGGCACGATGCCCTTGGAAGTCCCAGCCTCCAGCACTGTGTGCCAAAATAAGCCTCTTTCCTTTATACGTCACCCAAGTCTTAGGTATTCTGTTTCTTGCAACAGAAAATGGACTAAGACTTGGTTCTATGTGTAGCCTTAGAATTTTGTTTTCTAAGGAGTTTTAAGTCTCTACCCTGATCACTTCAACTAATTGGAGGTTTTTCAAAGGCAAGATTGTTATTCATTCTATTTTCCTAGTCCTGGTTACAGAGAAAGTGATAAGAATATGAACTTGGAAATATATTCTTCACTACATGCAACACACATCTATTAACACACTCCCACTGGGGTCTCACTATGTAGCTCAGAGTGGCCTTGAACTTACAGAGATCCTCCTGACTCAGCCTCCTGCTGGAGTGCTGGGATTACAGGCATGTGCCACCACACCCAACTACTGATAAAATTAATAAAAAGTCTGCAAGTGGACCAAATCTAGTTAGTTGCCTGAATAATTACTGCCCAAATATAAATATGAATACTATTCATACTAATTTGAAATATTACTACAACAATCAACAAGTTTCACAAAATTAGAAATTCCTTTAAAACATTTTATACATAAAGGCAGCTGATTTGTACAGAGTGCTCAAAATGTTGTAACGTGCTTGCCTTTTTTTGCTGTCCCAGCAGCACCCAGTTTTTCAGACAGTTGTGCATGTACTGCCGACTGCTGGTGGATCAAGCTGGCAGGACAAATCAGTGAGACACACGATGCATGGCCTTGTGGCAAACGCCTGAAGTTCACTGTTTTGTTTTGGTTTTTTTTGGTACTGGGGATCGAACTCCGGACCTTGTGCTTGTGAGGCAGGCAGCGGCACTACTAAGCTAAATCCCCGGCCCCTTACGTTTACTGCTGCATGAGCACCCAGGAACCACAAGACACATGGGTCGGAGTGCGGCTCACCCAGGCTCCCAAACTGTAGTGCGGAGCTAAGACACGGGCACCTCAGCCCTGAAACAGCTCTGCTGCTGCGTGTCCCTCTGTGACAGCCGAGTCTTCAGACACGGCCAAGTGTCCTAGGGGTTTGCTAGTACCCACGGTGCTCACTCACCCTGTGATGGGCCCAGCACCAGCGCTAGGGCCCTGGAGTGCAAGACGCATGTGGGAACACAGCTCACTAACAATCACTTGGGAGACTGGCAACAAGCTAAAAGCAAATTTAAAGATTACAGACCAAGCAAAGTGCTCTTAAAAAAATCAGAGTGACAGCACAGAGAGCTGACCTGCAGATATGGCGGGGATGGGGCTGGTTCTGTGGAGGAAGTGACTTTGAGCTGAGACCTCAATGCTAAGAAGGACACGAATATACCAGGCAGAATGCTGTAGAGCAGACAGGAACAGCTCAGAAGATCCATGGAGGGAGTGAGCTCCGTGGCAGGCGCCAGCTGGTCCACAGGGCCGGGGGAGGTGGACATGGAAGCCACTGTGAGCTCCCAGGAGACGGCACAACCTTCCTGGGTGTAGGCCGCACCCCGACTGCTGGCTGAAGGACCACAGGGAGACGGCCAGGAGCAATTCCGACTACCTGAGCGCGGCCCAGAAGGCACAATGGGCCACAAAGCCCAGATGGTGCAGAGGCTGCGGCGAGTGCCACACAGAGCAAGGGCTGGGAACACCAGAGTCCCAGGAAACGGAGTGAGTTTCTAAACAAACAACTGCTCCTCTAAGCTTTACAGCTCCGACAGGAAAACATTCTTAAACGATTGCTTTTCTGCTCTTTTTGTTTTTTCTTTAATGACTGATTTTCCTGCTTGCCATTTTCTGAATAGCCACAGAAAAGGTCACCCAAAAGCTTTGAACCTGTGCCGCTGCACCGCTCGCTCAAGGAGGAGTGCACACGGTGCCCAGGGCTACTTACCCCGGCGAAGAGTGTGAGGGCTCGGGCCAGCAGCGCTGTGGGCTGGGCCGACCGAGAGCTGATGGGGGCCAGCACCTGACTGGGCCTGGGCCTGGGCCTGGCCAGGGGTTGTCTGACTGCTGCTTCTCCCTGATGCAGGGACAGCTGCAGGTGTGGAGTCCTTGGGCTTTGGAGGGCTAGGGGGAGCAAAAGTCAAGTCAGATGTCAGATATCCCAGTTAGAAAAGCGAAGCACACCCTAAAATACAGCTGTCTATCAGCAACCCACGGGCTCTAGTTCCAGGGCTCCCTGGAGGTGCCAAAACCTAAAGATGCTCAAATTCCTTACATAAAATGGATAGTATTTGAATGCAACCTCACTATATCTTCCTGCACACTTTAAGTCATCTCTATATTACTTATTTTTTTTTTGGTACCAGGGATTGAACTCGGGTCCTTGCACTTGCGAGGCAGGCGGCGGAACCACTGAGCTAAATCCCCTGCTCCTGTATTACTTACAATACTTAATATAATATGAATACTACAGAAATACTTGTTATACTTTACTGTTTAGAGAATAATAACAAAAAAAGCACATGTGTTCAGTACAGATACATGTTTTCTTTTTGTTTTTGGTGGTATTAAGGATTAAACTGAGGCTTTCACAGTGAATTACATCCCTAGCACCCACTCACTCCCCTTTTCAATTTCTTATTTTGAGTCAGGGTCTCACTAAGTTGCTAAGCTGCCCTGGGAGGCAATCCTCCTGCCAGAGCCTCCCAGAGTACTGGGATTACAGGGGCAAGCCACCATGCCTGGCTCATAGAAATAATTTTTTAAAAACTATTTTTCATCTATGGTTGGTTGAATCTGTAGATGTGGGACCCAAAGGTACAGAGGGATGACTATGAGATTCCAAGTACAGTTTCTACCTCAGCAGGCAAGGAGATGATCTGAAATTTTCAACAGTTTTTACCCTGGGCCTATAAAGCTAGTATTTCCTTAAAGAATACATATTTTTGAGATTCCTTGCATCAGACTGACCTCCAACTACTCTACAACTCAAAGTCATGTTAGACAGCATTTCAAAGCAGCTCATGAGAAACCTCAAGTTCTATCTACTTTGTTTGTATTAAATTGGGCAATGTTAAAAAATAGTAAAGAGGGCGGGGGATGTAGCTCAGTGGTTCCGGCGCCTGCCTTGCAAGCACAAGGTCCCGAGTTCAATCCCCGGTACCAAAAAAAAAAAAAAAAAGAAAAAAAGAAAGAAAGGGCTTTGAATTTTTACAAATACATTGTACAAAAGTAAGCAAAAGCAATAGCAAAAAAATACTTGAAATTGTGACATGCTTGATTCCTATCAACTGAGAACTTGGAGAGAGAGAAACTCGTGAGAGGCTAAACGATGACTCAGAGCCCAGATCTAATGCGATTCAGGCTCCCTGTTTCCTGGGCCAAACTGTGTACCAAAAATGACAGTGACACATGCCAAGGTCACCAAAGAGGGGACGCCATCAGTGAAATGTACACAAAAATACCCACAGAATATAAAGAACAAAGAGCAAGCTGATGGCTGGCACTCCATTCGTCCTTCCACAGTGAAGACTAATGACCGACTCAAGTATGTTCAGTCTTGAGTAAATGAACTGGCTGCCATGAGAAAATGAAAGCATGTAAATCTGCACGTTTTTTCTCAAACAAAAAGAACTTTCCTGATTTCTCTTTTTTTTTTTTGGTACCAGGGACCGAACTTGGGTCCTTGCGCTTGCAAGGCAAGCGACGGAACCACTGAGCTAAATCCCTGGCCCTTAAACACAAAGAACTTAAGCCAAAATGTATGTATGTATGGAGCAGTGGTTACTGACAAGCCAAATGAAGCTGATGTTGGGCCTATGAAGCCCTACAAAGTTAGAAGCCTTACTTCCCTCAACTACAAAATAGACTTCCCCAAATTATGAGTGAAAAAGACTAGAAAACGCACAAAGCATTCAGAACCCAGGTGTGGGGCTAACCAAAGCTCCTACCGGGTAAGTACCTTTGCACACCCGAGACTGCCCTTCAACCCACAGAGGGCGACAGGGAAGTTCTCCCAAGGCAAAACTCTCCCGGGGAAGTATGAATAAACAACAGTCCTTCTTTTAGGCACTTACTTTACCTCAGATATGATTATTTCAGGGTGTGAGGATGGCCAAATGACAATACAAATCTTAGCACACTCTGTGGAAGGCCTCATCGTTCAGAGCAGCTGCCACTGGAGCCGTCACAGATACCACGTGAACGGGCCTCTGCCCAGACCAGTGCAGAGAGCCAACTGACACAAAGAAAATCTCAACTCAGAGGGACCTTTTTCAAAGTTGTCCTTCTGTGCAGTCCACTCCCAGCGGCTTACCTGAAGGTCGAGTAATCAAATGGTCCTCTAAGAAAAAATACCTTCTTTTCCACCCTGCACAGGCGCCGATTCCTCTGTAAGGCCGGAAGCCTCGAGGGCTGGGGATGAGTCTTAGTCACCTAATGGGCCTCATATGGTGCCTGGCACCTATCAGTTACTCAGTGAATCTGTGTGACTGCATCACTGAATGTGGGAATGAACGACAGTTGCCAGGAGCCCCATAACTAGCTCACTACATTCACACACTCCCTAGTTAGCACACTGAATGAGAACAAGCAGATGGCACAGGAGCAATGGCAGCTGCACATCAAGCAGGTAAAAGGGGGCTCGTCAGACTGATATACACCTATTAGTCTCTCATTTGTAGCACCAAAGCAGATGTATGACAAAGAATGCAAACAAATGTTGCTTTCTTTTGAAGCAAGCTATTTGCAGTCTCATTCCATCTCTTGGTCCTTTGCCAACCGGAGGAGTAGCAAGTCTGGTCCACTCTCTGCCAGAAAGACCCTTTCGGCGTGAGTGCCATGCCCAAAGGGTGCAACTTGCAAAAAGATTAGGGCATCTGGCCTCCACGGCCAGGAGAAGGGGCCTGCTTACCTGCTGTCACCTGGGCCCGGCCCTTGCTCCGGTATGCCTGCAGAGGAGGGGACAGTCCCACCCCCTGAGCTGCTTTCAGCCCGAGAGCTGTGGGCAGGGGGCTCCGGGGCTGCAGGAGCCGCGGTGCTGCCATCTGTGGGCGGGAGTGGTGGCTGGAAAGCAGGGGATACGTGCTTTCTATTTAGAGTACCACTCCGCCGGTGGGCCTGGAAGTCCATAAGCTTCACACCAAAGCTACACAGAGAGAAGAAACAGTCAACACACCATGCAAGCTGACTCCCGAGACAGAAGCTCGCTGGTCCACACATGTTAAGACCCAACAGGGACAGACACCCAAACTGCCCAGCATGCAGAGACGTGGCAAGGACCGTATTAACGCCATCCCCATTCCCAAAGCAAGCAGTTCAGCTTGGCTTGAACCCTGAACAAAGCCAAAGGACCTGGCACTGATCAATGTCCTCGATCAACTGGATGTGAGCAGCTGAAAGCAAACAGGCAGGCTTCATCTCAAGTGACATCATGTATATTTTCCTACTCCCTAACTCCCATCCCAAAGCTGTGTTGGAAAATGAGGTGGAAGCCGAGGTTCGCTGGTGACAGGGTAAGGCCACCATATGACACCACCTCTTTACAGATACATCTGAAAGATACGTAAGACTGGAAAAACAGGTGCTTTGGGGAAGGAGATGGTGGCTGGGGGACAGGATAGAAGGAAGATTTACTTTTCACTAGTGTATAAACGTGAAGGCTTTTTTTTCCATTTGAAAAAAATAAATAAAAAAAGAAAGATACATGGCTCCCTGAGCTTGTGTTTACTGGGCCAGTTGGAAAGCAAGTAATTGAGAACTGTGTGTGCTGACCAGACCTATAACTTTGTATTTTGAACTTAAAATACACGAGAGCTGGCTTTGTTACAGATAGAACAGTATTAACTAGGAGACACTACTGAATAGGAGGAGCATGAGGACTCAGGAAAGTGAAATCTGTGAACAGAATAAATGTGAATTTCAGAGTGGGACAATAGGAAAGCGAACCATTTCCCTTTGCTATGAGGAAGATGACCCAAAACAAGCAAGCAAAGTAAACATCCCACGCATCTCATTATAAGATTGGACAATTAAAATAGGAGCTTGCTATTTCGCTTTACTATCAGCTAGTTTCAGTAATATTATTACATATATGCAAGAAAAGCATGTTACTTCAAACAGGCCTCTTAACTCCTGCATTACTGTGAGTCTAGCGGCATTTCATCATACGCACTGGATAGGTTGGTGTCTGAAGGCAAAAGCCATACGTGGGCTTAATCACCCTGAAAAAATCTCACAAATTCTCCACAGAGAATTGTACAGATAGACTGCTTCTAAGTCCAACACAGCCATCTGTTTCTTTCCAGAAATGGCCAACACTGAGGTCTCTCCAGCTAAACATCAAATTCAGGGTTGGCTTCCACTGAGAGGCCATGCAATACCAAAAAATGCCTGGATAGTGTGAGGTATGAACTGTCCTCACACCAGTGCTTGCAGCAGTGTGTACGATGCCATTCTACCATGCAATGTTCCACAGAACATTGTACAGTAAAGCTGGACGTGTGGCATGAGGTCAACTGACAGGCTACGTACGTCATGCTCAGATTAATGCCTGGAATGAACGACAGCACAATTCCTGTAATCGGGGCTCTATCAGCCGTGGGGACACGGGGGTACACGAAGCTGGAACCAGATACCATGGGCCTTAACACTTCTGTACGACATCTCCTGCTGCACTGGAAGTGAAGAGCGCTAAACACACCTCTCCTTCTTCACCAGGTCTCCTTCCATCACCGCCATGCTGGCAGGCCGCTTCCTCTCCGGGGCGCCTGAGTCACAGTCATTTCCAGTGTGGGATGATTGATTAGAATTCGGGGTGGCAAGAGGCACAAAGGCTTCTGATACATTAAATTCCACCTCTGCAAGAACAATTAATGAGTGCATGAGAAACAGCACAGGGCGAGGGAGTGCGAAAGCAGCCCACTGGATGGGGGTCGCGCTCGTCAGCTGCAGGCCCTCTGTCCTTCATGGGGCAGTGCCAGGCCCTCTCCTCTGGAGCTGCACTGTGAACCCAGAGGGAGGCAAAGAGGGACCAGAGACAGCAGAGGGTACAATTCAGAATACGACCCACAGCTAGGCTGCTTTCTCTTCTGTGGAAAAAAAACATGGACTACACAAGAGGATAATGAATGTAGATTACTTATTTGAATCATTAAAAAGTGAAATACAGTTTGATATAAAATAGAAATAGGGCCGGGGATTTAGCTCAGTGGTGCCATGCCTGCCTCACTAGTGCAAGGTCCTGAGTTCAATCCCTGGTACTGTAAAAAAATAAATAATTTTTAAAAAATAGAAATAAAGGACAACATCAAGGACATACTTTCTACAGCACTTTTTGCAAGAATCATGTCCCTGAAGGAGAAAGCTTGGGTAGAAGGCTAACATTTATCCCTTTTATCTTTTTAATGGGCAATCAACTGGATGAGCACAGCCCTGGCATCAGTCAGCAACTGGGCTGCTCTGGGGGAAGGGGGGTCTGGACTCAGAGGGGTCAGGACACGCCCAACCCGTATCCCAAAAGGGGTCTGAAAGAATCTCCACGGATCCCAGATCCACAACTAACACAGTCTGAAAACCTATCACCTACAGACTGAAATCCTAATTCTTGGATGTCTGTCGCCAACCCAGACCTTCCCAAGTCAGCCCCAACCAACCCTTCCTGCCTTATTGTCTAACTTTGCACAAACACAACAACCCAGAGGCAAGAAGCTCTCTCACAAGAAGAAAACCCCTGCACATTCAGTATTACTTTTTCTGAAAAGGAATCCCTGGCTCCCTAGTTCTAACACCTGAGTTCATCAAGTCTTTCTCCACCTACCTATCTTTCTAATTTGCCACGTGTCACAATTTATCTGTTTCTGTGGCGCTTTCTCCAAGGGCCCAAGTTCCTCCAGGGAGACAGTGTGTCTCACCAGCAAACATACAGCACCTAGCGGGTACTCAACATACATTGGCTGAATACGCTCTAGTGAAATTAGGTGAAATACAAAATGGTATGATTTTTATTATGCCAAAATATGAGTGCAAATGAACATGGTTTAGAAAGAAGCATTAAAAGCAAAGCCAATTATGTACACATTGATGAATTTCCTTCTTTAAGAAGACTTTTGATACTGTTATGCTATTGTTCTAGCTGCCAATGGACACAAAATGAAGATTACCTTCAGGGAAGAACCAGTCGGCGTGCTGAATGATGGGTTCAATCACTGCAACCACATGCACCGACGTGGCTGCTGCGATCTCAGCGAGTGTTCTGCAAGGAAGTGTGCAAAATTAACATGCTTCTCCTGGGCTGCCTCTAATGTCCGCAGGTTGTGTGAGGGCAACACAATTCTTTTTAAAGGATAAAATATTTAAATACAGATGGACGATGAAATCCAAAGGTCCGAGGCCGAGTCTGGCTGCAATCATCCAGAGGTAAGATGACCCTGACCCAGCTATCAGGCCCTTCAGCTGCAGTGTGACAACTGTGTCTACCATACATAAGCGCCCCTCATCCACCAGGGAATAATGTGTCCAGAAGCTGGCTTTAAATGGGTTTGAAGCAAGGACTGCATTTTTCCACTAGAGAAGAATCACACCTGGTATCTATCTTCTGGGGCCCAAGATCACCCACACTACTCTTGTCTATGTCACCGAGAGTACACGATGTCACAATGTGCCTCCAAAGACGTGAGCCCCTGCATTCACACTGCTGTCATACATATGTTCTGGTTCCAAGATGAGTGTCCAGAGGCTGAAAGTGTCTGATGCCAGGGCTCAAAAGAAAGCAATGATCATTACCCCTGCCATCGAGCTCATCTACCAGCTGGGAGTCAGAACACCATCAAAGCAAAACAGCTACAAAACGTCGGACGTTTACCGAATTACCTACCATCATGGCTTCTATCTGCCTGTCCCCCAATCCCTCACGTGCTCACAGGTGGGACTTCGGGAGGTGACTGGATCCACGGATGGGTCTATGGCTGGGTGTGATGCTAGGAGGTGAAGGCTGGTGGGAAGAGGTGGGTCTCTGTAGGTGTGGCCCGGAAGGGTGGATATATATCTGTCTACTGCTCGCTGCTTCCTGCCTGTCTTGTCAGGAGCCTTCTCCTCTGCCATGCTGCCCTCCCTTGGATCCAGCCAACTGTGCACTGCAATCTCTACAAACTATGAGCTGAAATAAACCTTTCCTCTTTTAACTTGTGGGTGGTCAGGTTATTTTGTCCCAGCAATGAAAATGTAAGACACCTACCAGCCTTTAGGCTCGCACTAAATTTACTTTGTCATGAGGCTTTTCTTATAGAGGACAAGGAATTTAACCTTAGTTCTGACTGCCTCAAACCAACCTCTTCTCTCCTCTTAACACTCTGACTTCTCTTTTCACCAGAAAAGTACCACACCATTTTCAGTCTTTGTTTTGTTTCTGTTTTTTAAGACATGGTCTCCCAATGTAGTTTAGGCTGGCCTGAGCCTCTGGAGTGCTGGGATTACAGGCTTGTGCACCGAGCCCAGCTAACATACCATTTTCTAACCAAGGAAAAGTTCCAGCTTAAAATGCAAGCTGTCTGTAAATTATCCTCAGCAGCCTTCCTCTCATCTGGACTCTGATCAGTCTTCATGCCTTAGAATCCTAGTGGGCTGGGAAGGAATTGTTCAACCATGTTCTTTTTCAACTTTCCTTCTTTAAGAGCCAGTTTGCCGGGGGGGGGGGCAGTTTGTGTACTGATTTGCAAGATCTCTTCGTGTATTCTGGAATTTCTGGAGGAACTTTCCTAGCCTGTGAATTGCCTTTTATTTAAGTTGCTTTCTGACACATGAAAGTTTCTGTTGTCGGACAGCCAAATCCACCAATTTTAAATATATAATTTCTTGCTTTTTGTGCTTAGAAAACCCCATGCGTATGGTGTCACTTTTTAAGTCTTTAATCTGTCTGGAATTTATCTGCCTTAAGATATGATCTATAGCTTTGTACATCTACTTATTTTTAATTTTGCTTTATGATATTGGATCTTTCTAATCTTCTAACTACTTTCTGAAACAAGATTGGGCCTATGTGAGTGAGTAAATCAAAGACTGACTCGAAAAGTTACTGCATTTTTAATGGAACTTGGATTTTTAATGGTTCATTATTTTGCAAAGGTGACAGGCAGTAATGGGAGCCAGAGAAAGGTGACAGTTAAGGACATGGGCTTTCTGGCCAGCACCTGGGCTAACACTTCCCTGCAGTGCATCCTCACCTGCAAAAATGATGATGAGTAACTCAAAAGGTGAGGACCTTGGTCATGCCCATGCCACCTGGCAATTTCCTCAAAGCTTTCCAGCTGATCCCTCTCCTTGCCTCTCTCCTCTATTCAATCTGTATTTCTCAGTGTCAACAAAACTATCTTGCAATTAAATCAAGTCATTCTTCTGCTCAGCAACTTCGATAGCTTCTTCATGATCTGCAAAAATAAGCCCCAAACACTTCAGCAGGACATGTGAGGCCCTTCATTATCTGGCCCTGACCTACCAAAATCCCGTCATCAAGGTATCCAAGACTTGAGAGGCACCCCTCAACACTAGAAGCCAGGCCCTTCGTGCCTACAATGCCTTGGCTCATCCAGGTGCCACCTGTAGGAAACTCTCATTTCTCAGCCACAGCTTTCCCTGAACTTCCCAGACTGTATTACCTGTCTCCATCCCTGCTGCCCTCCTACCTTATACTGTCAGTGATACCGAAGGGGAGTCAGTTATGACACCTCAAGATATGGTCCTATGGCCTATGGGTTATTTGGAGGTAAAGGCATTTAAAAAACAGCAGATACAAGAAGAGCACTTGAATCCTCTTTTATTTTTTATTTTTTTTTGGAAAGCAGGAGATAAAGTTCCATGTGAAAAATGCCCTCCCCATACCAAGAGGAAGAAAAAGTATTTCATCACCACCAAACAGGGTGTTGAGGTTGAAGGAAATCTACACAAACAAACCTTGCTAAAGTAATCCTTATCTTCCTAGCCATGTCTCTACAATTAACGGCCCTGGCCCAAGCCCCTTTGTCTGGTCTCACTATCACAATGTGCTATTTTTTATACAACTCAGTATAAAAGCGTTCAGCTCTAACGGCTTCTTTGGGTCTTTGTTTTCCTACAGGGGCTCCTATGTACAAATAAAACCCTGCATGCCTTCCTTCTGTTAGTCTGTTTTATGTCCATTTTATTCTCAGGTACAGACACAGACTCTAAATAAGGGGGTAGAGTCGCCCCCCCAATATCCTACATATACACACTCACACATGTGCACACACATACACCTGTCTATCTTATTACTGAGGTGCCTTACTGATCAAAAGCAGGGGGTTCTTTGAAGAGAGGGACAATGTCTCATGTCTTTCTGTCACCAGCATCTCACATATGGGTCCTGAGAATATTGGCTGAGTGGGAAAATCAATTTCAGAATACCTTGACACGCACTTTAAACCAGAACGTGTCTGGTGTTGTGTTCCCACTCATAACACAATGCGGGGAAAGACTACTCACCCTTCATTTTTGGCCCATAACAAGTTTGGGCCTAACACAATTGCAATGTTGCTGGGAGTCATTTTATTAACATCACTGGTCTGAGCAAGTTTTGCAAGGAACTTGATCAAATACCTAGAAAATAAAAAGCAACAGAGCACCTTCTCAGAAATATTTGCAGCAATTTTCTCTTACTGCCCTGTGCTCAATCTCCGATTGCTTAGGTGCCAAATGTAGAGGGTCATTAAACCAGAGTCTGCCTCAGGTAGAGCGTTTTCCAAATTTCTTGAATATTTTGTTTCAGAAAACAGAGCTTAGAAAGAGAAAACAGCTCAAATGCAAATCTCAATGAGTTAATTTGCTGTACACTTTTAATCTATTTCTCCTTTATATCCTTTATATCCTTTCTATTCCATCTCTAAATAAAGTACATTGTGGTTAATAGTGGGTTAAATATATATTTAATACAAATACTTTGTTTAAAAAGGTTTAGTTACATTGCTTAAAGGAGCGACATGAAAATACTTTACGCTGTAATGATGAAACCATATAGAGATATGTTCTTCTACGTAAGTACAATGGTATAAAAACAAAACACTAAGAATATAGCTATCTTTCAACAGGAAGCTGGTTAAATAAATAATTAAGTATATCTAACCGTAGAGTAGAGTACCATGCATCACAATAATTATTATGCACTGATATGGGAACTCTCCAAGATGTATGAAGCAAAGACATTAAGATGTTAGGCAAAGAAAGCAAAAGGGAAAATGAGGTATGTAATATATAGTACCGTTTGGTCTAAAGGGAAGTAGGCACTGAGGAGGAAACCCATGTGTGTGGCGCTGTCTATACACATGGGTGTGTGTAGGGATTCACCCTTGCTGAGAGGGTGTGCCAGAGACTGCAGACACTGAAGCTCAGGAGAGGAAGTCAGTGTCTGGCGATGGAAACGGGAGTGGTTTTTCAGTGTGTACCTTTGAATTCTTTTTCTTTTGCAGTGCTGAGGACTGGTCCCAGGACTTCAGTCCTAAGTGATCTGTGAGATACATAACCCACCTTTTGAATTTCTGAACCATGGGAATGTACTCCGTATTAAAAAAAAAAATCAGCAAAGACTGTACAGCAAAATAAACAAACCAAAAAGTAAAATCCCAATACACTAGGAGCTATAAAGCAGCTCTATCATACCACACTATCTGTAATTCCAAGTCAGGTATATTAAATTCGTTGATAAGAGACCTTACAAATACCAGCCCACCTATCAGGCCAGGCTGGCACTAAGGCAGCGAGAGGGAATATTTAGTTTGGCACAGTGATAGTTTCCAAGAGTAAATTCAGGGTCAGGCAACCAGGGATATGACTTATTTAAATAAGTCCTCTTAGAAAATTTCCTGTTTGGTTTTAAATGTCTTTATTCTTTGGGGTGATCTCACCCTCTTCTCTCTATACTTCTTCAAAGTTACATATTAAGTCAACGTGACAACAGAAGTTAAATTTCAGAAGTTTGTCTCCTGGTAATTTTTCTTAGAAACACAATTACTTAATAAAGTAATATAATCTTCATAGTAGAATAATTTATGCTCTGTTTACACATGAAAGATATTACTCAAAGTATAACAGTTGATTTACTTTGCATTTTACATGCTGGACAATTTAGACTCCAAACCTAACAGCAGTCACCCAGCTAAGAGTTCCAACAGCAAAGTCTGTAAGGCCACCTCCATATCAATGCCAGGTGTGATACTGATGCTTCATACAAGAGTATGCATCAAATCCCACTCACAAGAACACCATGTTATGGTCCAAAGCTTGTTATTCCCCGTTGGAATTAAACCTATCTGTATTCCAGAGACACTGTAGTGGTAGCTCAGTTTACAGAACGCCAATCATACATACCTAAAGTTAACAAAATTCTGTGGTGGCAACTTCTGACATGTTCTCCATAAATCTTGAAGTTTTTTGTCTTGATCCTGCACACTAGGAAAAAAAATTGTTTATATGTTATTGATGCCTGTATTAACATGCTGCTATACAGTGGTACCTCAGTTCAGGGACTCAATTCTCTCCACGATTCTGGTTGCACAATGAATTGGATGAGAAGCAAATCAAGTTTCCCCCCAAGGTCAACATTGAACCTAACCACTAAATTTGATTCAGTTCTCATCCAACTTGGTTTGCAACCAGAACTGTGGAAAGAATCAAGTCGGTGAAGCGAGGCACCATGGTAGTTTGGGAGTGAATATCGCAAATGTTAGCTATCCCCCATGTGTAAAAGGCCTGGTCCCAGCCTATAGCGCCATGGGGAGGTGTGGAAACTAAGAAGTGGGCCTAGCCAGAGGAAGTTAGGACACAGGGTGTGCCCTTGAAGGGACCCTGGGACTGGGCCCTCCTCTGTGCTTCCCAGGCGCCATGAGGGGAACAGACCCCGGGGCCCCATGCCTCCCCGCCGTGACACTCTGTGCCATCACAGACCCAGACCCAGAGCAACGGGAGCAGCTCACCAGGGACAGAGACTGTGAGCCCAAGCAGACCTCCCCTTTAAGTTGGCCATCTCAGGTATTCTGTCACACTGGTGGAAAGCTAACTGAGACATGTGCTATATTAACACTGATGTCTCCCTTGCTGTTTCCAAAGTTTGAGAGTAGCACAGATTTTAGAAATAAATACATTTAGGGCTGGGGATTTAGCTCAGTGGTTCTGCCACCTGCCTTGCAAGCGTAAGGTCCTGAGTTCAATCCCCGGTACCAAAAAAAAAAAAAAAGAAAGAAAAAAAGAAATAAATACATTTGGAGTCAAATTCCAACTAATCACTATTTAACTTGGAGCAGGTAGTACCCTAGCCCTCACTAAGACTCAATTTCCTCATTTGCAAAACAGGGTAGGAGCGTTAATTCTGCTGAGTGAGTTCAAAGCCTCAGGGGCATAACTGTGTGAAGCCGCCTAGATCAATGACTGCTTGACACCGGAAGGGAAGACACCACTGTAAGTCCTGTCCAGAAAGTGCACATATGAATGGTGGCTCTGTGGAGCCCAGATTACCCTCTTCCAAGTGCAGCCTGGCCACAAGCTCACCTGCCAAGTTCCCAGGCACCTAGAGCCCTGGTGGTTCCCCTTTCTCAAGACTGCTCAAAGGCTTCAGGCCAAGAAACCTATTTCTGTCGTCAGTCACCAAACTCTGGGACTACAGATTCAACATACAGAGCTGCAGAGACACCAAGGAGAGGCAGAGCAGACCCTGCAGCACAGCCGACTCTCCCCAGCAGGCAGGAGGGTGCTGGGGCTGACTGCACTCTGGAAGCTAAACACTGCACTGCACCAGGGCGGAGGCCTGGCCGACACTTCACAACTGCAGAAGCAGCAGACCAACAGACAGAGCCCTTCTGCTACCTGCTTTCCATCACTGTGGATAAAACCCTGAGAGAAAGAACTTGGAGAAGGAAATACCTATTTTGGCTCACAACTCCACAAGTTCTAGTTCATGTTTGTCCGGTCCAAGGTGGAAACAGCATGGCAGAAGGGCGCGGTGGACAGAGCTGCTCACCTCATGGCAATTGGGGAGCGGAGGTGAGAGAGCCGGAGAGGAGGGGCCAGGGACACGATGTACTTAGTGGCCAGTGTCACACCACCCTACGACCCACTCTCTTCCACTAGCTGCCCCCCTTTCCATGACACTCAAACCTGCCATCAAGTTATGGTCTCGTCGATGAACACGTTCCTGACAGCGTGAACCACCAGTGATGCGTGCATGACTGTCCCACTGGGCGGCTTGTATCACTGGTGGTACTCACAGATCTAATTCGAACTCAGGACCCTGCACTTGCGAGGCAGCCGCAGTACCACTGAGCTAAATCCCTGGCCCCAGATCTAATCACTTTTACCAGTCTTTTTACTAATAAAATTAATAAAAAGCTACCGAGCATGGTGGCGGTCACCTATAATCCCAGCACTTGGGAGGCTGAGGCAGGAGGATTGCTGTGAGTTTGAGGCCAGCTTGGGTTACATAGTGAGTTCAAACCAGCCTGAATTACAAAGCGAGACCCTATCTCAAAAAAACCTAAAAATTAACTAACTAATTTAATAAAAAGCTCCCCAATTAGGTACAGTCATGGTGGTTCAAGCTGCCCGGCAGCGAGACACAAATTACAGCCCCATCGATGTGTTAATCCACTAATAAAATGAGAGCCCTTGTGAGCCAGGCAGCTTCTGAAATTCCCACCTACGAATACAAGAGGCTTTGGGGGGAACATGTGAGATTTCAAACTGTAACATCTTCTTTTACTCTCAGAGAAAAATCCTGGAGGCTTAGAGAGAGGAGTACAGGCCAGGAGGAAAAAAGAAAGCTACCCAAGGCAAGAAATTCAACAATCCTCTCCTATGTGACAATGATAGCTGGTATCCTTTAATTCAAGCCCAAGCTAGGCCCAGCCTGTGTGTGTTCCACGGATATCTCAACTAAGAACTTGTCTCTGAACTTAACCCCTCACCACCTACCAGCACAAAGTCTCTGTTCCACAGTCACAGACTAAACACCTGGGTAGAGTAACACAGGGTGGATGCATGGCCTGCCAGAAGAAATGGCCACAGCTCATCGTGGCCTCTGCCCGGAGCAAGACAGGGGAAGAAGCTGGGAGCAGAGGTGGTTTGCTCCTCTGCCCTCAGGGGTAAGGAGCCAGATATCCAGGAGAGGATGTGAGTCAGGACCATGAGGGACAGGGTGAGGCGGGGCAGAAGGGAAGCGACCAGAATGGAGCACAGCCTTGGGGTCAGACAGGTCTGGGTCCACAGCTCTCTCTGCCAGTTACTTGCTACTACCTTGCCTGTGCTCCTTCCCAAGCCCCAGTTTCTTTTCCTATAAAAGGAGGCTGGTATCTGCCTCTCAATTAGTTAGGGATTGCAGAAGGTAATGGGTATACAGATTCCAGTACTTAGCATACAATAAACACTCAAGAGACAGTCACTGTTACCGCTAATGATGTCCTCATTATAGTACGCAACAGTTAGCTTCTAAGCAGCTTGACAGCCACACTGCCACTCAGTTACAGTATGACACCTGTCCCCAGTTACAGGGCTTTCTTTGGTATAACGGGGATTTGAGCTCAATCAATCCACCAATGTGGCTGCCACTGTATATCTTCAAACATCTAAATCACACAAACAAACTAGTGCATAAGCTATGGCCTTCTTACACTAATAATAGTAACATTCAATACTTTCATTATAAATGTAAATAGAACCAATATACATATTACTTAACAAATAACTTTATAATAATCTTTGAGGATACAATAACTTACAAATGTACACAGTATTCCATTGCTTCTTTTAACTTTTAAAACTCTGCATTCTTTAAAGTTACCTTGCAACTTGTGTCCATTCTTCATACAGATTAAAAGTCATCAAAGGTTCAGGCAATTCCCGTAAATAGGACTTCAAAGCACCTGAAACCATTAATACTCTCTTTGAGTATGAAATGGATAAGGCCAGAAATCTCTGGATATATTGTTTTGCAATGTGAAATTATCTCAATTACAATCTCTAATCTGTACTAGACAAATCATAATCTCGCAGGCATGACCAGGGATGAAATGCTCACAAAAGACATTCAATTTCCCTTCCAAAAGTACACTGAGAGATCAAAAGAAAATAAAATTAGCTTTAAAACTATCCTCTTAGGGCTGAGGATTTAGCTCTGTGGTGCTACATCTGCCTGGCAAGCGCAAGGACCTGAGTTTGATTCCTGGTACCAAAAAAACCCCTCATCCTCTTAACAGACATCATTTCTTTGGGTAGACTTGGATTGTGGGAGTGAAAGGAGTGAAGAAATACAAGTATTTGTCCAAAATATTTACAGTGTGAACTACCTTCGTCTTTACTTAGTAACAGGGCGTGGTGGGGAGACAAAACACCAAAACGACACAAAGAGAACAGAAACCATGGTTATGCATGTATTACATTATACATTAGGGAATTTTATCAGAAAAAATTCTTTTTATCCATTAAACCTTTAACTGAAATTGGACTTTACCTCATCATCTGCCTGAGACAGGACTGGCCCACCACATTGAGGGTGGCTCGATTTGCAGATTCCTTAGGGCTTACCTGCCACAGCATGGGGGTCAGAATAGAATTCATCCAAGTGAGAAGTGGAGCAGTCCAAAGCAGCTTTCAGCTTCTTTAACTTGGAGGCGCCAGCCCCAATTCGGAAAAGGCCCTAAAGAAATGAAATTCCATTAGCATCAAGGACAAACTGGGAGTCTTTCATGATCAGCAGACTCTAAGGGAGCCCTCCTCAGGGCTGTCTGGGGGAACGAGAAGCCCAGGCTCATACCTACAGCACAGAGTCTGGTACCTACCAATCCACTGCTAATCAGGGCTAGCTCCTGCCCTGTCTCCCGACTAAAATACTACACCTAGTGGAATTTGATTATCAAAAAGCATTTTTATTTCCACTTCTATAACACTGATGGCTATAGATCTTTTGGAATATAGAAATATTTTTAAAATATTGACATGTTAAGGAAAGTTTAGACCAGGCTGCTAGTTACTTGCTCCAAATGTCCCAGGAATAGGAGAAAAAAAGATATGAAGAGTCGACCAAGAGAGGCGGGAGTATGACGGACGCTGAGCCAGGAGTTGGACGTCTTCGTTTCCAGCGAAGTTAATCCAGGCAAGGTCTCCACCTAGCACGGTTTCTCAGCCTGCCATTTAGGCTGGACGACTGTCCCGAGGGGCGACCCGTACGCTGTGGGCAGTGCAGCAGACCCCGGCCTCTGCCCGCTGACACGCCAGTGCAGGCCGCCTGCCCCAGGTGTCATCGCACCTGTCCCGGGACTTTGCCCAATGTCTCCTGGAGCAGAACTGGCCCAAGGCGAGGGCACTGACTTAGGGTCTCAGAAACTGAAAGTCACACGGTTGAAACCCTGAACTTGGGGGCTTCTGGGGTACTCCTTAATCTGAGTGTTGATCAGATGGAGAGCTCAGTCTGTGGGGATTTTTCCAGCTGTCCACTCACAGTGTGTGTACTTTCCTCGATGTACATTAGACTCCAAGAGACACTTGCTCTTTTTTTGGTACTGGGGATCAAACTCAGGACCTTGTACCTGCAAGGCAGGCAGTGGAACCATTGAGCTAAACCCTCAGCCCCAACAGAACTTTTTAAAAAGGAAAAGCTATTGCATTTTGATTCTGGCTCTGCCCTAGTGTGAACTCTGTCTGCGGATTTTCTGTCTATACAAGAGAAGGAAGGAGAATTGCCCTGCTTGGTTCATGGGAATTTTTTTTTTTTGTAAAGGGTTCATAAAGTAAAGTATATAAATGCACACTCTTCCAAAAATTTTCCACAGTACTATGCAAATGCATGATTCATGCTACAGATGCCTTCTATTAAAAACTAAAGCTCATGGAGGCGCTGATCCATTAATGTATCATGAAATCCATTGCTGTAAATCAGAGCTTAAAATGCAATACCAAAGGTCCCAGTGTATTTACTCTTAGTAGTAAGTATTGTTCTGTGAAGCCTATTTCATGTATACACCGAAAGGTATAATGAATAAGCTCTCATTATGAAATGCTGCTCATGGTGACAAAGTCTGAAAACCACCAGGCTACACAACACAACAGTGCTGTGGAATACAGGTGGGGTGGGCAGAGAAAGGGCACAGAGACACGGCATGTGGGCCCCGAGGTGCCTCACCTCCTCCTTCATGCCCGTCTCCAGGAGCAGCATGACGCAGGCCTCAATGGGAAGTGCGATCTCACGCCCGCTCCGCTTCAGGTGCTCCTCCAAAGGCGTGCCGAAGGCGGGCTTCTCTGCCCACTTGTCTAGAGTGGCAAACTGGTCAGTCAAGTACCTGACAACTTCACGCATCACCACGATACTTTCTCCCCAAACTACCAAAGAGGATCTTCTAGCAGACTGATAGCTGAGGCTTTGAGAAAAGGGCAGACATGTTTACTACTTGCTTTTGTTATATTCGCTGTTCATAAAGCACAGACTATGCAACGGGCTGGGGCAGAGAGCCCTGAGCACACCTTCCTGGCACCCAACACTGGCTGTGGCAGAAGCTGCACTGCTCAGCTCGGCACCGGCACAGCTCACCAGCACAGGCTGAGGCTGGTGGCCTTGTTTAGCACAGGATGGATCTGAGCACAGTGTTCTCACTGAGAAGTTTGTTCTAGCCTTGCAGAGCAGACTGGCCACCCTCCCAGACGACAAGAAAGAGAGTCCCTTAAAGTGAAAATGGAGATAATTTCTTAACATTTCAAACACAAGTTAAGCATTTGTCATACAAGACTGGAGATGGCCACGGTAAACGCATATGAGAGGCAACATCTCCGTGACATGCAGCGCTACAGAATGTCCCGTCCCCAAACAGGTCCCCAAAGCTCTGAGCACAGAAAAGAAAAGCCGAAAATCCAACACAGCATCTGTGGCTCCGAAGCAGCTCGGCCGGAAGGTTGTGAGAACAGCGGCAAAGCAGCATCTTACTCCTTTCAGGTCATACACCCCGCTTTGCCCCGCAGGTTTGAGGCAGTGCTTAGCAGAAAGATATCTAATGAAGCTGCCCAACAGGAGAATTTAGAAAATGGACACAGAGTGAAAACGTGAAGCCCACGCCTGGGTTTGGCCCGCCTGTGGGAACTGCAGAGATCTAGCGCTATCTCCGAGGTACACAGACCCCAGGGAGGGAAACACTTCGCCCTGTCCACCCCCAAAAGCACACAGCTCCTTCTCTGCACCTCTGACAGGCACCGTCCTGAAGCCGCCCTCCTGATGGAAGCCCGACGTGACTCCACGGCATCCTCTTAAACTCCCGCCCCTCCTGTGAGAGGCCAGGCCCACCGTAGTCTGCGCACAGCAGGGGGAGGAAATCCAAACCTCACAAGTCCACATGAAAAGTTAAAACCTGATGGGAAGGGCAGTGAGGAAAAAGACTAAAGAAAGGAGTGAGGGGAAGAGGAGGCAGGGCCCAGCCTTGTCCAGTGGAATTTCTCACAGAAAAAGCAGCTGGAGGCCCAGCCCTTCCCAGAAGACAGAGCTCTGTGACAGGCCTCTCGCCTGGATATTTTATCATCTGCAGCAATAGTTCTGAACACAGGGCGAGAAGGCCGCGGGATCCTTCCGTTAGGAGACACATCAGTCACCCAGGAGAGCTCTGCCATGACACCTGCCATCACTCCAGCCCATGCTTGGCTCTGAGATGCTGGGGGATTGTACTCCAGTCCTCTGCCTGCTAACAAGCACTAGACAGAGTGTGAACCTTCCACGCCTCGATGGGTCACCTAGGCCAAGGGAACAAGTGAAAACCACTGCCCTAGAGACAACTCCTAAGGGAAACTCCACTTCACATGGCGGCCTCTCAAAGGGCAGGCCCACTGTGTGCAGGAGGCCCACCAGGTTCATAGGGACCCACCCTTCACAGGAGAGCAAATGAACTGTGAAGGAAATGCAAGGCACCCATAGAACGCGTAACAGTTGCTGGCAAGACGAGACACATCAGATCCATGGTACAGACAAGGGTGGAGGCACAGCTGTCTCAGGGTCAGAGGTGGCACTGGGGCGTGGACCAGGGTGGGTGCCCACAGTCTGCAAGAGGCAGCCGCCTCTGGGCCACGTGGGAAGAACACCCGGTACACCCATCTTCTAAACTTTCAAGAGAAGCCATGCATCACAATTATTACGTGAAAGCATCTGGTTTTTAAATGAGGACGTACTTTTCAAAAATTTAACGAAATAGGGCCATCTGCGACCCCTGGTATAGACCAGTGATGTGAGAGCAGTTCAGGCTGCAGAGCTCCCTGCTGGCTTCAGCGGTCAGAGAAGTTTTCTCAAAGGCAGCGGGCTTGGAGCGGGTCTCCTGAGACAGACAGGATTAACAGGCCGAGAAGGACTGGGGATTTAGCTCAGTGGTTCCGCTGCCTGCTCACAAGAGCAAGGGCCCGAGTTTGATCCCCGGGGCCCCCCCACCAAAAAAACCCCAGGCTAAGAAGCAGGCAAGCAGTCCATAGGCAGCAATGGGCTGAGAAGAGACCAGGAGCCACGAGTGTAGAAGCTTTCACTGTAATCACAGCTCTGGTGCAAGGAGCGGGGGGAACACACGGATGGGACGACGGGGAGGCCGGGGACAGGGAGGAAGACAGAGCACCCAGCACAAGGATGGGGAATGAAGGGCAGGTGAGCCTGAGGTCTCAGTGTCCGCGTGACAAAGAGGAACTGTGACAGCGGGCATGGGGGTGATGGGGGTGCACACTACAAGGTATCTGGAGTAGAAGGCGAGGCCACACGAAAGGGGACTGATGCTCATAATGCAGGTGAGAAGCGCAAGTCAAAACAAGGGACCTGTAGGGAAGAGGGGATGAGGAAATCGGGAAGAAAGAACACAGCAGTGAGAACAGACCTCAAAAAAGGCAGACTTCTGGAGCATGGACAGAACTAGAGAAATGCAGAGTCCCAACAATGAAAAGAAAGAAGACAATTAAGTGAAATGAGGGGAAACTGTAAGGAGGAAGAGATGACCTAGGCCATGTAAATACCAGATTCTGGCGAGAGGTCACTTGGTCCTTTGGGAACTGTAAGAGGGTGGATGGCAGAATGGGAACAGGAACCGGGCTGCACAGGAGGAGGGGTGGGAAGGTGGTGAGATCCTGGAGGCAGCAGGTGGAAAGGAGTCATTCAAACAGCCTCCCAGAGAACCGAAGATGAGATTAACAGGGGAGGGCCGGGGTGGAGCTGAGTCACAGCAGGAAGGTGGGAGGACAGGGAGAGGTCGGAGGCAGGGAATTCCAGCTCAGCGAAGGGGCAGGGGCGGCTGTAGAAAGATAACCACTTACTCCACCCTCCTGTTCCTCCCTGAACCTTCCCTGCCCCCAGGACTTACTGATGTGTTTCTCTAGAGAAAACAGCCTTGAGTGCCAGAAACCCAGTCTTCTCCTATCTATGCTTATTAGCCACGTCTTCCCCATCAGACTTGAGGCCACTAAAGACTAACCCACAGTGAGTTCCTGTCTGGGTGCTCTGAACTTCCCTGGCAAGTCTGTCCTTCAGAAGGCTGACCGTCTACCACATCATTAACTATGAACTAGGGCACCAGATGGTTTAGAAAACAAGGGCAGCTCGTCCCAGGAAGAACGGCAGAATGATGAGACATACTGCACCTGACACTGTGAAGACCTGACTATGTAGTCAGGTGGGAGAGAATCATCTTTCATAATCCAAAAGCTTTCAGGCACCAAGCCAGACCCTGTTAGGACCTCCCACACTAGAGGAGAGGACAAGGCACTCTTGAGGGCACCAGCGTGTGCACAGAACACACCCACCCACCCTCTTGCACAATCACAAGCTCACCACACTTGGCTTCTGGCCTGATCCCCTTTCAGCTCAAGGCCAGTGGTTCTGCAGGGGACCTAAGCTCCAAATGACAAGGCTACACTACGAGCAATATACAGCTGGCCGCTGGTATATGCGGGTTCTGCATCCACAGATTCCACCAACCACTCATCCATATTTAGAAAAAAAAGTCCTTGTACTGAACACATACAGACTTTATTTTCTTTTCATGATTCCCCTAAAAAACAGTGTAACAAACTATTTACGTAGCCCTTACGTTATGCTGCATGTTATAAGTAATCTAGAGATGACTTAAAGTATTGAAGAATGTGTGTAAGGTGTATGCAAATACTACACCACTTTACACAGCGACTTGAGAGTCTTGGGTTCTGATACCCACAGGGTCCTGGAACCAAGAGATAATAAGCAACAACTGATATACTAGGTCCAAAGATGACAAAGCAATTTCTTCCTCAGTAACTTCTGCCAGTGTCTGCTGGTACACACCCAGTGTAAGTCATAGAGAAATACAATCAAAAGCTTTTAGGAGGGGGAAAAAAGCTTTAAACGTCCCACTTAAAACTAAACATCTGGGGAAAGCTCAACCCACTCACAACTTGTGGGGAAAATACCCGTGCTGATGAGAACAGGAGCCTTCCACTAAGACGAGGAAGGGTCTGAAAGAAGTGGCCATGGTCTTGTGATGATAATGCGACATCAAGGACTGGCTTGTAAAATTCTTCTCTGAAAGTCTAAAATAAGTGCTCTAGAATGGATGCTCTCAGAGTCACAGGGCCAAATTTCAGCCCTGTAGAACAAATAACTGATTCGGGAAAGGATAATTGGATGCTAGAATTTTTCAAGTCCATAAAAGAGAAAAACACACGCAATTCCCAAAGGGGGCTGTTTTCTCTTCAACGGAAGGTCTCAGAAGAACTACAAATGTTCCATTAGTGTGTTAATTTGGGTTTGGAAGAAGTTAGAGAACGCAGCAAGAAGAGGAAACTATGCTGGGAACTAGTACCCTCGTAGGCAGAGAGGCTGTCCGAAGGGAATGCATGCAAGAGTCAGAGCAAAGAGGAAGGCAGGGGGCAGCGGAGGAGGCCGCATTGGCCAACACACAGGTTACATTACCTTGATGAGCTCGCATTTCGGGAAGGGCCTTTTCTAAGACTGCTAATGCTTTTCTATGGTAATCTGCTTGGGCTTCTAATAACTGAGAACAGACCCACATTCAAAAACAAAAGTTAACATTAGCATCAGATGGATACACGTACAATGTGAGCAAAGCTAAAAATGAACACTTTTGCAAAAAAGCTAGAATGATTCTATTTTTTACACTGCGTTAAAATTCTGTCAAGGGAAGGTGCTCACCGTAACAAAAAATGTGCCGTACTCCCCTTCTTTGGCCACGAAGTTGTACATGTCTGCCGCGAGCTGATCCTGGAAGTGGAAGAGAAGGCCATTAAAAATAAAGAGGTGAAGGAAAAATGCTACAGATGAAATGTCCATCAACTGAAAAGCCAGGTGTGGTGGCACATGCCTGTAATCTCAGCACTCTGGGAGGCTGAAGCAGGAGGACCAAATTCAAACCCAGCCTGGGAAAACTAGTGACTTAGCAAATTAGATTTTGTCTTGTCTCAAAATTAAAAATAAATAAATAAGCAAACATAAAGAAAAAAGAAAGGTCTAGGGTTGTAGCTCAGTGAGGTCCTCCATTCAACTCCTAGTTCCACAAAAAAAATGGACTAGGTAACACTCTCAGGATATTCACTCCCAATCTCCAGGAGTCCCAAAGATAAAGCCCTTATTAAAATAAGCTCACGATATAAAATTACAAAACACACAAGGAAACAATTCACCACAAGCAAATTCCCTCCACTTTCAAGAGCCTCAGAAAAGAGAATCACCAGAGACTGTTAAAACGGAAAGATTTAAATGATTATAGACATTTGAAAAAGAAACACTAGAAGAGAAAAATGCACTATCAAAAAAGGTCTGGGGCTGGGGATTTAGCTCAGTGGTTTCGCCGCCTGCCTCATAGGTGGAGGGACCCGAGTTCAATCCCCAGTACCAAAAAAAAAAAAAAAAGAAAAACATTCAAAACTTAATCAGATTAGACATAGCTTAAGAGGGAATAAAAGACCACCAAGATCTGAGGACCTTACCCAGAAAGTAGCACAGAATAGGAAACAGAAAATATTTTTGTAAGTTTTCACCATGTGAAATACTGGCAGGCCATGCTGCAGAGGCTGAGGAAAGAGACACCAGTCTACGATGCTCCAGGCTCACTTCTCAAACCTCCGGCCACACGTGTGTGCAGTAAGTATCCAAAAGGTAAGGTGCAGAGGACTGCTGGGAAAGGGACACGGGCAAAGCGGGTGGACGTGCGCTCTTCTGGACACAAGTGCCCAGTATGACACCACTTTATTTAACATCTTCATCTAAACATGATCTGTTTTTCTGAGACACGACCTCACTATGCTCCCAGGCTGGCCTCAAATGTGACATCTCCTTCCTCAGCCTCCTGAAGCTGGGCTTACAGGCGTGTGTCACCACACCCAGTTTTGACTGTGATCTTTTTAAGTATAATGGCATGACTCTGTGAGTTCAGTTTTAATTTCTACATAATATGTTGTTGTTTTAAACAGTTCATCCCAGTTAACAGATCAAGATTTACTCTCCTGAAGAGGTCGGGAATAACAGCATGACCTAAATACACTAAATGTAACATTCCTAACACCATCTAGTAGAATTAACAGACCATTTTTGGAAAATGTGAATAAGAGCAATAAAAGTCTAAGTCAATCCTAAAGTTAACCAAATACCTGTGACTTTACCACCTCAAATAACATTTAGAATAAATACCTAACTGCATAAATGCATTAAAAATGATATCACTTAACCATCTAATTAATTTGAAATTTAATTCATGAGAAAAAATTTTATTTCTTCCAAGTTACAAACCATTTTTTCTACAAACATTTAAAAAGTAATCCTTCCCAATGTTTATATGATCACTAAATTACTATACATTGAATCTTGTAACATTTGTTCTAGAAAACCTGCATTTGCACTGATCTATTTTTATATCTATTGTGCATTGTTTTACGTGTAAATTTATGATATGTTCTGTTATGAGATTTTTTTTTCCTCTTTGCTACTTTATTTGAAATAAGCTTAGCCAAGATTTTAAAATATCCTCCTCAAATCTTTAAAATAGCGTTTTTTCATTTTTTATATAGTTTATTCTAGATGTAGGGGGAATACACAGAACTTATCTCTAAAAATATTTTTTCTATATAAAAATAGTTTTATTTTGGCTGTAATATAACATAGTACTGGAAGAGAAAGAATATAAAAACTGCTTTTTAGGGCCAGGGATTTAGCTCAGTGGTTTCGCCGCGTACTGTGCAAGCACAAAGACCCGAGTTCGATCCCCGGTACCAAAAAAACCAAAAACCAAAACCCCAAAAAAACCCAAAACAAAACTGCTTTTTATATCATTCAAAATATCCTGATAGGAATTATGTAAACCATAATTTGCAATATTTGAGGTTATCCATCATTTGCAGAAATGAAACACTGACAAACGCACACATTTCTCAGGGACTCTCATACCTTGCACTGCTCTACTTTATTTCCGGCTTCATCCATCTCTTCCTTTAGAGTATCTACTTTTGATGGGAGCCCCTGGAAGTTGGTGCCTGAAGATTTGTGAGCTTGGTTCCACCTGCAAAAGGAAGGGGAGCCAGCCTCTGAGGACTGCTGGACATGCTCAACCCCAGGGAGTCAGGACAAAGGAGACAGCCTTCCCCAGAACAGATTCCACCTGGGATGGGGATCAGCACCCAGGAAAGCCACTTGAGTTTATTCTCTAGGAACGGAAGCAGGTAAACAGACGTCAGGTGGACAGGACGCTCTGAGCGAGTGCCGGGACAGCTCTGCCTCACTGCCCACACTCATCTGATCTCACACGGATCCACTGCTGCAAAGCAGCCCGTGGTGCCCCTTTCCACAGTGCCAGCTACAGACTCTGCTCTCCTGCTCTGCTTAGAATGCTCCTTGCCTCTGGGGACAAGCCCTGCCCTTAAGGAGCCCCCTACATCTGTGACCTGTGGTCATTTTTAGCAGGTAAAAGGCAAACTTCAAAAACATAGCTATAAAAGCATTAAAACATTGTTACAGTAGGGGGATAGGAGGGGAATAATCTAGTCCTTTTTTTTGGCTTTCAAATGTGCTTTGACCTCCTGCTTGTGTACAGATGTATCTGGTGCTGTGGAACATGCTGACATGTCACACTTGGATAATGACAATGCAAAGATGCAGCACGAAAACTCATGAGCAGCGTATCGAACTTCTCAGACCACTGCACTGTCTCCAAACACCATCTTCTGTGCACTTCCCATGCGCGATGTGATGCACAGAAACACTCCAGCAAGGCCACCAGAGCAGCACTGGTAATGCTGCTCCCCTGAGCATGGACTTCAGAGTCTCACGCGCTCTGCTGTCCAGAGAGGCTCCAACTGAACTAGCTGCGTGACCTAGTTAATGCTGACTCTGTGCCTTGCTTGCCTCATCTGTGACACCAAGATGGTGACCAGCTCTGCCTTGCAGAACCAGATTCCTACCTAATACTAGTTCTTATTATTTTTGTAGAAGGAGAGGCCAAAGAATTAAGTCAAAGTAAAGAAAAAAATATTCAATTGCCTCAGTTTTCTCAATATTTACTTTAGCTAGTTAAGTGAGTAAGACCATAAACACAAGATTGAGAATCAGTATCAAAATCTTCTTTTAAGGGATACATGTACTCAATATACAAAAGTCCTGACAGATAAACATCTGTAATATTGCTTGGCCAAACCCAGTGTGGAGCACTCACAGACTTGCTTAATCACCAGAACATTCTCTCTGGGTAAAAACTGGTACAGGGTGACTGTGGTTCCTGGTCTGGTCGTGGCATGCAGGATGCTAATCACACACATGTATATGACAGAGAGACAGCAGGCACTGCCATCAGAACCCCAGCTCTGCCTCTTGTGACCTCTAAGGCATGACGCAGGCCTTACAGATAATACACGCAGGTTCTCCTTTATCTGTAAGACAAGTCTTTTCTCAAAGCAAGGGAAGTTACATTAGCCCCAACCCATTCCCTCTGCAACTGTCTGCTGACTGTGAAGGGTAATTACAGGAGCAGGGGTTTGTGACGTGGCGGGACCCTCAGGAACAGTCAGGATCACAGATCTATTTATCCCTACACTCTGCTATCCTAAGCTGGGCTCTTAGAATTGGCGAGCCCGTCCTCTCTCCTGTTAAACAGATTTACTCAGTTTTCCTTTTTGCTTGTTTGTTTCCTTTCACTCCTGGCTCACTAAGGACAGAATGTTCTCACCCCGCCCCACTGCCGTGCTGGAGGGGATGAGGCCTAAAGCAGGGGTGGATGGCTGTGACCTGGTCAGCAGAGCAAAAGACAACACCCATTGTGTGCCCTCGTCTGTCTTTCTTTCACCCGTGCCAGGGACAGTGAAGGCTACTGGGGATGAGACACACAGTAATGTGTTACTGGCCACCCTTTCAGCGGCACCTTACCTGGCTCTGACCGAATCCCAGTCCAACACCAATCTAGCAAGCTGTTTCCTCTGCTTCTGGATGTTGGGGATCTCCACCTAAAAGGAAGAACATACCAAATGGGACGTTTGGGGCTTTAGTTTAACACTTTATTTATTTACAAATGTTTTTCTCTTAAGCAAAAACTCTCGTACCTCAAGTTCCTCCCTTTAGTTCCAAAAAGGAGTGTGCATTAAAGCCACCGATTATTAGTTTTAGACACACATGAATCATGCACCATGCAGCCCGTGCAAGCACCCACCTCCGCTATGCTGTAGAGAGGGTCCACGATCTCCTTTTCCACAAACACTTCATGCTGAGAGAGCTCCAGAGCCAGCTGATTCTCAGCATCTCCGCATGTCTCCAGCATCTTCCTTTAAAGACAAGACCCCACATCAAACATGCACTAGGTAGACAGGCACTAGATTCTTACACGGCGGCAGCTCTGCTTGCTGTATGATGGGAACACTGTAGAGCACTACCCAATAAAGCCTTCGAACTATTACACAACACACATGGCTGTCACCTTAAATCGGAGTCAACAGATCTGTGCTTTAAAATGAAAGTGACTCTTTCAGACACGGACTTTGGAGGCGGAGGTAATGGTGAGGTGAGAGCACAACTTACTCAACGAGGTTCCCACATCAAGCGAAAACTAAGTGTTCTCAAAGCACGCTGGAAATCTTCTAGAGAATACACAAAATCCATGGCATGTTCCTCTATGTCCCCCAGCGATCCAGGCCCCGTGGTGTTAACAGCTGGCTTTCTTCTGTGCAGACGAGGGGACCGGCTAACGTGTAAGGGCCACATTACATGAACATCACATCTCTTCTGGATTTTCTGTGATCACTGCTGGTGTCACACCAAGTTCACACACAGAGGATGTAATTCCACCATCTCTGGTTCTCTCCCTCTCCTTCCCCCTTTGCCCTGACCCCCCAGGGACCTGTGAAGTTCATGTGGCACTAGAAAGTGTGTGGTATGGCGGGGGAGGTGGCCATGGTGAAGCTGCCTGCTCCTTGCAGCTGTGTGGTCTCAGGCCATCTTCTTACCCTGTCTGCCCAATACCCTCCTCTGTACAATGGGAGCTTTAGCATCACCTTCTTCCTAGGTGGTTTTGAGGATCCAATGAGCTATTTATTACCTGGAAAGCACTCAGGACTGGCCGGCACACAGCACCAGTCTGGTGAGGTTGTGGTGACAGCACGAGGAAACACGAATATGGAGGGAACAGGGACGCCCACACACAGGCACATCCGCACCTCCCAGGGCCAGTGCCGGCAAACATGGTCGCACAGGCAGGACAAAGGAAGGGGCAAAGAGGGCGGAAAGCATTCACCTCCAAAGAACAAAGGAAAGACTAGATCCCGGGAAATGGGCTGAAAAGCCCAAAAGCCATGCCCAGCTGGTAAGCCGGGCCCATGTGACAGTACGGACAGCCGGATTAAAGGACACCAGCCTCATTGGATAAGCAGGTAGAAGGAAGCGCAAACCTTCCCTCCAACAATGAAAACTGTTTTCTCTTCAGATTTTTTTCATTATTTAAATAATGCATGCCTATTGTTTTTGTTTTGAGACAGGGTCTCCCTATATAATTCACTATGTAACCTAGTCTGGCCTCAAATTCACAGTAAGCCTCCTACCTTAGCCTCCCAAGTGCTAAGATTACCGGGGTGTGCCACCACATTTGGCTCAACATCCCCACTGTAAAAAGGAAAAGCTCTACAGACAAGCATACTGGAGGATGCAGAGGGGATGCAGAAGTAACAAGTAGAAGGCTACAGCTGTGTAAGAGGAGTAACTCCTAAGGTCTCATTGCTCAGCAGGATGGCAATTAGTTGTATATTTCAAAATAGCTAATAGAGTTCAGACTGTTCCCAACACATTTGTGAATGACAGATGTCTAAGGTGATGGACATGCCAATGAACCCGATGCAATCCATACACATTGTACATGCACTGAATTACTGGACCCCAAAATAGGTACAATGAACTGTGTCAATTAAAATAAATATATTTTAACAAACAAAACCAAAATTAAACATTTAAAAATTTTTAAAAACCCACAAATAATTCAGAAAATACATTCTTCTGAGGCCACCATGATTACTATTTTGATGATCACTCCTAAAGGCAGCTAGCTACTCAGGGAGTGAAGAGGGCTGGTCAGGCTAGAAATCTGAGCACGTGTGGAGCAGGGAAAGGACCAAGTCCCTCATACCCAAGCTTGCCACGATCAGTACGTTTGGTAGTGGCTCTCTCTGCCTCCGAACTCCAGCCCTGCTCCTACTAGCAGGAAGATTCCCCAGCAAAAGCACCAGTTGTGGCCTACTTTCTTCCACAAGACCTAACTTCCATCCAGGCAGACGGGCCATGCCATCCTGCCTGAAGTCCCACTGGTCCCACCGGGGCTGCTATGTGCCACCCCTTATGACCTTCTGCTAGGGGCCAACTTACCCCAGGAGAGATTCTTCCAGCTGAGTTGATGCTTCTTGCATATTCTGAGCAAGTGCTGTCAGAGGGAGTTTTTTCTGGAGGGAAAAGACATTGGTTTTGTTTTGTTTGTTTTTTTCATTATTGTTTGGATCCTTTCTCAGGGATCTTTGTATCACCATTCACTGATCTCTCCCTCCTGGCAAACTGCGACGAAAAGAGACCTCGTTCTGGTTCCGTTTCTAAGGGTTAGTTGTGTGATTTCATCTCTGGGTCTCAGCTGGGGCCGCTGATTAAATGAGACACTCACCATCAAGTACCTAGCTGTTGTATGTACCTGGAAAACATGAGCTGCTGCTGTTGTTGCTCCTGCTGTTACTCCTACTAATTAATCAAGCACGTACGGTCACTTATCTGAAATGCCTGGGACCAGAAGCATCAGGGTCTGGAGGTTTGGACTTAGGCTATCCGGCCAGATTTCCCTGGCTGAAGATCCCTTAAAAGTGAAACCCTAAATGCACCAAATCTGAGTGCATCTGAGTGTCACGTCATCACACCAGCACTCAGGAGGTGTTCAGATTACAGAGAGCTCAGGGCTGCAGGCGGGGATGGGGTGCTCAGGCCGAACTGTGTTCCAGGCACAGACCCTGCTCCCTAGGGCTCATCACAGGTAAGTACAGGAAGACACTCAACTTCCAAAGCACTTTCACTGGCTCTGTCCTCCCTCCCTCCCTCTCTCCTTCTTTCTGTCAGACAGGGTCTCCCAATGTAGTCCAGGCTGGCCTTGGACTCACTATGTCATTCAGGGTGGCCCTGAACTCATGGCAACTCCCCTGCCTCAGCCTGAGTGGTGGGATTCCAGGTGTGTGCCACCACACCTGGTTGCCAGAACATTCTTAAACTGGGTCTTCACTTGGCTATAATCATAAAAGTCGGCTTTAAATACCTAAAAATATCTAGTTAAATATACAAGAAAGTCATCACAGTATTTTTAAGTATAAAGCCAATCATTTTCCTATCTGAGATCTGTTTCTTAGCCAGCAGGATCACTTAACCTTTACAGTCAAAGAACTCACACCCCAGCGAGGGTCAGTGGCCTGGCCAGGCACCCCAGAGCGGGCAGGAGAGCTGGACCTCCGTTCCAGTGGCCTGAGCCCCAATTCGGTGTCTTTTCACACTGGTTGATGGTTTATCTCAGAATATGGGTAGAGACGGTCTAAAAAAGTAACAAGTGGGTTGGTTATAACACCATAATCTACTAACAAAAGAATGCTTTCAATTCTGCAGCTCCACATGAAACTGGCCTTCCCAGTAGAAATATGTGGTCTACCCTGGCATCAGCCCAAAGAGCTCCCCTGGATACACTTGGGCCTAGACTCTGTACAATGGACAATCTCTCTTGAAGGGCATTTGAGAAGCTGCTACCACTGGTGGCTCCAGACAAGGATGCTGGGTGCCTGGGGAACAGGGCTGGGAGAGACTTCATTTTATCTTCTTCTATATATATATATTTTAAATACATATATATATATTTTTGGTACCAGGGATCAAACTTGTGTCCTTGTGCTTGCACAGCAGGAGGCGAAACCACTGAGCTAAATCCCTGGCCTCTTCTTCTATATTTTGACTGTGTAATTATAAAGCCAGTTCAAAATAATAAATTAACATTAAAAAATAACCTATCTCCCCTCCCTCAGAGGTATTTCCAAATAAACAAGAGGCTCCTCCTCACCCATAAGGAGGCCACTCCCGGCTGCCACACTTTTAGACAGGAAGATCCGAGAACAGAGGATGATTCCTATGTTTCAATTACAGTGGTACCTCGGGTCACAAATTTAATTCCTTACACAATTCCAACTCAGTTGCAACCAGAATCGTGGAACAGATTCTATGACCAGAATCATGGGAAGAATTACATTCGTGAAGCGAGGTAACACTCTATACTGACTTTCAAAAGGATGTTAAACATAAGACAAGGGCAGTTATCAAGAGAAATATACTTTCAGCAAGTCTGGAACTCCATCAGTCTGTGGAGAAAAAAAAAATCAGTCTCTTTTGACAAGTGTCACTCAAGATCCCAGATGCAAATAGCTTTGTGGTTTCCATGTCCTGAGCCCAAAGCCACAGTCCCCCTCCCGGTAACATAAACGAGGAGATCCTGCTGAACAGACAAGCGCACTAACGACACACGCTGTCTACAACAACAAACTCCACAGGGAGGTCTCCAGGCTCCCCACAGGTGAGCAGCTTTTCCTCTGCCAGGGAGGAACCTAAAAGGTCTTAATCTGTAACATCTGTGCCAACTACACAGGAAAGAGGTAATTCCGAATCCCACAGGCCTACAACAGGCCTGCCAGGTCAGTGAGGTCCAACCCGAGAGGGCCGCCAGCTCCACCTCCTCCCTCCAGCTGCTGCCTGTCCCATGTGTAGGCTCCCGGCAAGCCTGTGGGAGGGAGCTCCCGCCACGGGGCTGCCGTGACTTCCTTCGCAGTACAGGACCTCTCACGGTTACCCTCCACCCAGCACGGCCATGCCACGCTTCTTCCTTCTCCTCAGAGCCCTGTCTTTGGCACTCTGGATTGATGTTGGAAAAGGAAAAGCGTGGCTCAGGTTTCGGAAACAAGGACCAAGAACCTTTGCTCCTGCTACATGGAATATTCCGGTCACAGCCAGTTTCCCTCCTGTACAGCTCCAGGAAGCTTCCCCTGACTGCCTCCCTCCCTCCTGGTATCTGCTTTGGCTCTCCCATAATATCCTATGGATATTTCATTTATCTCCCTCCATCAACTATGAACACTTAATTTTACTCATTTTCTCTATCTACCACACATACACTGTAGGTGCTTGACAAACTGTTTTTAGTGCATATATGTGACAGCTGGAGAGCACCTCAAAGCAGAGGACAGCCAGTCAACAGGACACACGTATGAGAAGAGCACTGGTGTAGCAGCGGTTAGAAGTTACAGTGGGAACGAGAGGACACAAGCACAGAAAAGTTGATGAGGCAAAACTGGACCAGATTACAAAGGTAAAGTAATGCAAACAGGCATCCCAGGCAATGGGAACTAGCCAGTGACCCTCCAAGGAGGTACCAGGCCACTGTGGGGCCTTCCCTTGTGTGGAACTAATTCACCAGGTGCTGCAGCACATTAGCCTCTTGGTTCCCAGCCCCTAAGTGCCAGCAGCGTCTCCAGTCCTAGTGGCAATCCAAACTGTCCCTATACATTCCTAAATATCCCAGGAGTGCGATTCTGCTCCCTGTTACAAACCACTGAGGAAGCTGTTTTATGTTATTTGTTTGAGGGTTTTGTTTATTCTATTTTTTTAGGCAGAAGGATGACAGGATTGATTTGTATTTCAGGCAACTGACTCTGGTAGTTAGGCTGAAGACAAACGGGAAAGGAGAGAAACTAGAGGCAGGAAATGCAGCTCAGGAGGTGACTACAGGGCCAGGGATTTAGCTCAGTGGTTCCACCGCCTGCCTCACAAGCACAAGGTTCCGAGTTCGATCCCTGGTACCAAAAAAAACCAAAACAAACAAGAAGAGGTGACTACAGCAGTCCACGGATGAGGTAATCCAGGCTTGCATTAAGGCAAATGTGGCGGAGACGGAGCAGAGATGACAAATTTGAAAGATATTCACAGGGAAGATCACAGGACTTGCTAATCCGGCAGCTGTGGGAGGGTGGAGGAGAAAATAAAAGAGGACAGAGATAACCCCACGGTTTCTTGTTTGCGTAACAGGAGAGACAAAATTCAAGTGTGCTGACATGGAAGGAAAAACTAGTTGTATGTGTTAAGATGGGCTTCTAAGGTAAGAATGCTTTTGTGTGAGAGAAAATGGTTTCCAAGTCACTGGCATGAGCATATTAGTTAGAAGCCAGGAGAAGAGCAGAGGTGGCCTCGAGCATATGACTTGGAGAATATGGAGAAGCACAGAAGCTTACGAGACAATAGTAAAAAGGTAAGCAGAGGGCTGGAGGTATAGCTCAGTGCCCAAGCACTAGCCTAGCATGCATGAACCCCTGGATTCTACACTCAGTACCACTCCAGAAAAAAGCAGCAGAGCAGAAGCCAAGGCAAGACAGTGAAAAACAATGGTGGGGGCAGAATCAGTGGATTGGGTCTGGTTTGTAGGGCAAGCGGCAAGCATTCCTGGAACTGCAGGCTTACACTAATGTCTTCTCTGTATAAATACAACTGTAGAATCCTAAACACTGTGCAAGGAGGGATAATCCTATTATCAAGGTGTCCTATAAATGTTTGTAGGAAATACAAAATGGTAACATAGATACCAGCATGCTACTTTTGCCTCTTGAGACCTTTGCTAACAAGCAAAACACAGCAAACCCTAGCTTCCCAGTGTGTCACTGAAACTGTCACCTTAATATGACACAGGATCTGATGGAGGATACATGCTCATAAGGTAGAAGCTTACAAAGGCAAAGACAGAACTGCCTAGCGAGGAGCGTTCTACTGGTGGCCCCTGGGCACAGATGTTCTCGGCAGGAGCCCAGGAAGACCCTCCCAGAGTCCACCCTTCCTCTCCAGAACAGCATCCTCCAGAAAGCTTGTGAGCAGGAGGCAGGACCACAGCCCAGGCTTGAGGGCTGGGCCCAGCCAGCTTACGCCACTCAGTGCATCCTATCTCCTCACCTTCTGCCCACGGTAATAGGGATGGAACGGGAACATTCCTAAACAGGGTCTGTGTCTCCAAAGACTGATGCCATGGAAAGAGATCCCCGTCTGCTAAGGGCTTGGAAAAGAAGTTTTCTCATTCCAGTAAGAAAAATACCAGAAGAGAGGCTCTACCCTGTTGACACACACACAGGAAGCATGAAGCCCATGGATACTAATGGCGGCCAAACTGCAACTGTGAAGGCACCTGACTACGGGCAAAGCAGACACTGACAAAGGCACAGGGAGAGAAGGAACGAAACGGACCAAGCTTTGCCTCAGGTCTGCCCCAGTCTCCAACTTTTTAGCTGGCAAGTCAATAAACTACTTCTGCTTCCTAGGTCAATTTCAAATAGGCTTTCAGATTTTTACTAAGGGATTCCTAACTGACACGTTCATTCTCTCATCACTGACAAATTGTTCCATCGGTCTTTAAAGACACCTGGAGAAGATTCAGGGTGAGCAGGGCTTTCAGCCCAGCGATGTCTTAAGCAGGAAAGAATGCTGTGGTCAGGAACTGTCATGAGCATGAACAGGGATAGAAGGTAACAATCCAAAGACCAACTGCTAATGTTGCTTGGGAAAAACCACCCAACCAAGAGAGTGGACAGCCTCATACAGACATGGTAATGGAGCTCTGGGTCACATCTGATACTCACGTGTCTCCTCTCAGATTCGGTGCCATGCTGGCCCTGGAAGCACGCAATCAGACGCTTATGGGAATGGTGGCACATGGACCGCACAGCATCCAGGCGCCGCTCAATCTGTCAAGGCCAAGACAAAAGAGCCACTTGTAGGGCTGAGGAACAAACCTGGAGTCTTCTATTTGTGGTGTGTTCATGCAGGTGTGAAATTTCTTCAACAGTGTAACTTTTTAGCTCTGGGATGTAAAGGGGAATGGCACCCATGCACCCACAGCAGGGGTTCTCACTGCTGACATTCTGGGTTGGACAATCTGGGTGGGAGGGGGTCCTGGGCACTGTGAGGTGTTTAGCAACATCTCTGGCCCTGCCCATCAGATACCAGCAGCACCCCACTATCCAAATTGGGATGACCAAAAATGACTCGATGTTTGCAAGTGTCTCCAAGAAGGCAAACTCAGACCTGGATGAGAAACACCAACCTCCCTTATGTGAAGGGTTTTAGTTCTAGCGCCCTTGAAAGCTGGATCTATGTGAAGAAGGGTAAGGGACAATCTTGACTAAGCCTTACTATCAGACTGAGTTGTGGCGATCATTTTACCTGATACAGCACCAGAAAAGCCCCGGGTCCAGCCAAGCAAAACCACAAATGAGTGGTCCAGCCCCAGATGTACTGCCAAGTGGGAAAAGCCAGACAGACACCCAGAAGCTCTCATCAAATGTGGATAAGCAACACATCAGAGAGAAGAATCAAAATCAGTGTGCCACAATTTCAACTGAGATCAGTGTTTTAAAAATTGCTGCTTATTAGGTTTGTGTTTTTGTTTTCATTTTTAATATACCTCCACAGCAGAATGGACAGCCAGGGTACAGAAACACTGGATCAGGGTCGTACACATCCTGAGTAGCTTCCCAAAACACTACTGCTAGATACGGCTGTTTATGGGAAAAGAGCTGCTTGTTACAGGGAGGAATGTCAAAAATGTGCATTCTGATGACTCACGAAGATTCAGAGCAAGCCCTTAGGGATGTTTCTATTTTAAAGAAAAGTCAACAAATTCAAAGCAGAATATATTTTGACCCCGAAATATTTTACCCCATGAGATGCTCTGAGACATTTTTGAGCCCCATGACACCAAAGCCCAGTCTCCAGGACTCTGATCTGGCAAGCAAGTTTATAATATGAAGTAGATGCCACAGCACCTTCCCCAAATCTTACAATGGCCAGATTTCAAAGCACTGGAAAACGAATACACATTCTTCATTTGCCACACAAGCAGAACAGGCAAAACAAAACTCGTTAATTCTGATTTCCATTTCTACTAAAAGGTAAACTCTGTAAGGCCAGGAGTCCTGTTATTTTATAATGGTGCCTCAGTTCATGAACTTACTTCTTTCCACGATTCTGATTGCAATCCGAATTGGACAAGAAGCGAATCAAATTTCTCCATAAGGTCAACATTGAACCTAACCATTGAATTTGATTCAGTTCTCATCCAATTTGGTTTGCGATCAGAATCGGGGAAAGAATTAAGTTTGTGAACTGATGCCCCACTTGTATTTACTGATCTACCCAAGCACCGGGATCCCTGTCTATCATGGGATCAACAGATATTCACTTACTGTTTGTTAATAAACAGGATACATATCTCTTGAGTCCCTATAATGGATATCAGAAAAACTAAGTAAATTCTGGTTCCCACCCTCATGGGATTTACGGCCTCCCGGGGAAACTCCACACAAGCAAATTAGAAGGCAGCCCTTGGAACTGAACTAAGGGAGATCTAAGAAATCGAGGGAAATTTCACCTCAAAAACATACCAGCAGCACTCATCTCTTGTGGTGGTCGCAAGAAGACTCCTGATCTCTACTCTCGGGCTACATTATGAGTATGTCCCAGATTTTACTCACTAACCCTAACCATCATACTGATACTGTACCCTCACTGAAGAGGAACGGAAACTGAGGCACAGGGAAGTTAAGTGAATCCCTGAGGCCACAGAGCTGTTCACAGACAGATGTGGGATTCAAACTCGGAGCTGGGTACCACAACTGACACCTTTAACCATGACTCTGTCTTTGTAGTAAGAAACAGCAGAAATCAGAGTGGGACCACATACACAGCAGTTATGGCAGACGTGGAGTAAGAATCTCTGTTAGACAATCAGGGGTTTCAGACTCCAGTGGATTCCCGGACAGCTGTCCTCTGTGTGCCATGAGGACTCTGCCATCCTCCAACTGCCCGCAAGGTCTAAGGGCTCCATGATTAATGGGATAATGTGTACTACTGACATGGGACATGAGCAAGACCATGTCTCAAAAAACCAAGCAAAGCAAAAAAACTCTATTACTTAAGTTTTTTGTTTTGGTACTGGGGATCAAACTCAGGACCTTGTGCTTTCTAGGCAGGGAACAGCTCCACTGAGCTAAATCCCTGGGCCCCTATTACTTAATTTTAAAAACCTCTCAGTCCTCAAAAAAACAAACCTTAAAAACTAAACAAACTACAAAAAAATAAGAACTGCTCTGAAGAATCAACTGGGATATAACTGGGGGTGGAGGCAGAGGCGTGATCCCAGCACTTGGGAGGCTGAGGTGGGAGGGGTCACAAGATGCAGCCTCGCCTAAGCAATTAGTGAGACCTTGTTTCAAAATAGAAAGGGAAAAGGGCTGGGGATGCAGCTCAGTGTGAAGGCCCTGGGTTCAGTTCCTATCACCTCAAAAAAAAAAAAAAAAATCAATGGGGCTGGGAAGGCAGCTCAGTGGCAGAGCACAGGCTTAGTGTGTGCAAGACCTTGGATTCACACACCAACACTAAAGAGTAAGCAAACAAAATTAACCAGCCCTCCATATCTACTCCGTGTCCACAGACCTAGCCAACCACGGCTCAAAAACACTCATGGAATAAAGCTGCATCTGTACTTAGCATACAGACTCTTTTCCTTATTATCTCCCAAACAATACAACAGAATAGCATTTATCTTGCAGTATTATAAGTAACCTGAAGACAATTTACAGTACACAGAGGGATGTGCCTAGGTTATATTCTAACAGCAGACCTTATATAACAGATAAGCATCCACAAATGTTGGTATCCATGGGGTGGAGTGGGAGTCCTAGAACCAAGCTGCCCATGGATAGGGAGAAAAAAACTCTATCTACAGGTGGCTGTCATAATTTATTTATTTATTTATTTATTTATTTGGTACTGGGGATCGAACTTGGGACCTTGTGCTTTCGAGGCAGGCGTCAGAACCACTGAGCTAAATCCCGGCCCTGTTAACTCATTTTTTTTTTTTTGGTACTGGGGATCGAACTTGGGGAATTCGGGTCCTTGCACTTGCGAGGCAGGTGGTGGAACCACTGAGCTAAATCCCTGGCCTGGCTGTCATAATTTAGAAGGGTGTTTTGGTATGATATGGCAGAAGCAGCATTTTTCTAAGTTATGCAGGTAACTTTTTGACATAGAAAGGGACAGAGAGTCACCCAGGAGTGGACCTTTGGTCCTCAGGGACTTGCCTGAGCAGACCTGCTATAGGTTACAGAAATGAAATCAAGCAGACCTTTGAGGTGGTTTGCTCTTCCCTAAGTATTCTGCGGTGGGGGTGGGGGTGGGGTATTCCTGCAGTTGAGAGTTAACCTCATAAAGAGTTCATGTTGCCGTATGTCTTGTTGTTATTTTATAATTCCTGCTTCAGCAATTTCCCCTTCATTTGCGTATGAAACCTATATTTATGTCTGGCTGTTTTTTCTTAGCATATTACCATGGTTATCCTCAAAA